CTGTAGGGATTGATACATGGCAAGTCTTTTTATGCTGGCAAGAACACATCCAACCCATCCGGTAAGATGCAATGGCTTTTAGTTATACTTGATTAGAAGCAAAACTCTAAACTTTTCTGCTTTACATCAGAAACCTCTAACAAATCTTTATTTTTTCCTTTTTTCCTCTCATTTTAAGCATCATGTCTTATTGAAGTTTAGCTGGTTTGAGGTTAGAGACATAGCACAAAGGATGTAGCTCAACTCCTTCAGAGCAACTGCACTTCAACATCTCTCTACAAGTATTTATCATATGTACCTACGCACACAAAGCATTTAGCCTTGAGACAGCTCTCTCCTGTGAGAGGGGAAACATTACATTCCCTGAGCTCAATGCTGTTGCTGGTGCAGTTTGTCTTTTCTCCTCCCTCAATCAACTTTATCTTGCCTGCAATATAAAACCATAGGTTGTCAGAGGAAATGCTTGCTGTTGTTTTTTATCTTACGGTAAGACTCTGAAAAATCATCATAAATCTAATTCATGGAAATGAAAAGTATCGTAGGCCAGGAGGACACAATCAGTCCGGATTCTTGGGAAATGCAAAGGAAAAGTCAGGAAGGGAACGTGAACCGCAGCTCCTGATTGCTGTGAAGTCCAAATGATGGACTGCTGACCAAGGCTGGCTCAGCTAGTGCAGCTGCAGCCACCCCCTTTGACCTTTGCAGAACTACACCCCCTTGTAGCAGGCTGAGCCGTGTGTGTGATGGGGTCATTTCTGGCAGGTAGTCTCCTGCTCTGTTGGGAGACAATTCACTGAGGTGGTCATTTCCCTTGCCCTTAGCTTGAATCGCTTGCTTGAGAATGCTTATGCTGCAAAAAAGGCCTGCAGTCAGTTCACCTGGAGCTGCAGAAGCAAAGGGTGAGTGGTATGAGAGCACGCAACTCAGATTAATGTTTCGTCAAAAAATAAATGCAATAACCCCTCACTTTTAGCACATTCTGAAGTTGGACAGGGTATTTAGACAGTTTGGTCACTCTTTGTATACAAACATACAGTTGATTTCATCCCTCTGAGTCCAGTCTCCTGATAGAAATCACATACCGGAGCAGGTTTATCCTTCAGGACTGCAGCCTCTGGGTGTCAACCCATGAGCTTTTTCATCTGACTTTTCTCCCTTTGTCCCTCGAAGAAGGAGTGAGAGGAGCAGCTGAGTGGTGTCTGGAAGCTGGCCAAGGTCCACCCTCTATGACAGGCTCTAAAAGTCACTCTTGAGTTATTCCCCATCTGCCAGACCTCCCCTGCATGCCCATAGCATCTCCTGGGGCTGTTAAATGGGGAGTGTCCGGTGGTTTTCCAGCTCACAGGCGGAATATGCTTTTCTGCAGTTCCAGCAGAACCTGGGAGCCCAACTCCCACTGAAACCCAATTGATTTGAGGCCTTTGAGTCACTTAAATCCTTTTGGAAAGCTGCTCTATAGCCAAAAGCTAATGTTACAGTTTAGGAGGACCAGAAATGGAACCCCACCCTTTACAGTCTTTCTTTCATTTGTACTTTCCCATTAAGAGTTGAAGAATGGATGCATCTGAACACCAAGAACAATGAAGATCAGAGCCAGCAGACAGCATCCCTTGGGAAATCCTCTTCTTTCTCACTGTAGTGCTTCAAATGGCCATGAGGAAGCATCGACAGGTAGGGCAGAATTTGCCATATAGTAGTGCTGGCACATGCAGTGGTGCCTGCTGCTTGCATATGGTGGAAAAATCATGATGTGTCTCCAATTCCTACGGGCAAAGAAGATGCTGTAAATAGCATGGCCAAGTTTCAAGCTCTCACAGTACAGTGGGAAGCAATCCAGCCTTTTCTGGTGTCAGGAAGGAGAGCAAAAACGCATTTTATGCATCCTACGGGGATAAGAGAAGCAAAGATGTCCCAGCTGGAGTTGTTAGCTCTGGGAGGGGCAGCCATTTGGCTCTCATTAAAAGTGGCAACATCTGAAGTACAATAGTTCTCTCTTGGATCTTGGTGAACGTGCACTGGTGGGCTCTGTCTTCCACCCTGGGAAGGACTGTTGCCACGCCAAAGTCTGTTTCAGGTCTGCGCCTTAGGGCACAGCTTACTGGTTAAACAGAATATGCGGGCAGCATCCCAAACCTCAAGTAGTTCCTCTGTCCAAAGCTTGTGCCATTCCCTATGGGCTTTTCACTTATCCAGGCTTCCCCCAGTCCTTGTCCTGACTCATGGACTGTGTTCTCCTCTCCCTGTTGCTGATGGTCCATCTGGGAGTCACCTAATAGCTTCTAGGCACAGGACATCTTTTCTGCTCCTTTGCCAAACTCTTTGCCCTTTCAAGGCCCTAATTGCGGAGCCTAAAGGGTGTTTAAGTGCCTCATTCCCACTTAATTCGATTTGGACTGTTACCTCGCATGTCATCCTGCAGCTGAAGTTACAGGTAGGACTGATCCCTGTTTCCCTCAAAGAAACCAGTAATCCTGTGTCAGGACAGCATATATACATATTTATATATATATATATAGCTGAGCTTGTCTGGAGGTACAGGCATTGCAGCTTTGGCATACATTGGTCCATACAGTTTTCCCTCACAGGAGGGAATAACTCTGTGGACTTGAATGCTCCGCATGGTTTTTCTTTTAGGAAGGAAACTGGAAGTAGAGTGTTTTCCATTTGGACACAGGGCTCGTCTGAAAGCTAGGCCAACGCTGTGCTAAATAAATCGGCGTGCCAACCGCTTATGGGTAATTAGGCATGAAGGGAATCGGCAGTCTGCTCCCTCCGGTGTGACTCACAGACGGCATATTTGCAATGTGCCTTTTGCTTCCAGGGCTTCAGCGCTGTGGTACTCGCAAGGAAAATGGATCCCGAGCTTACAGCAGCCTTGAGGTACTCAGTAGCTCTATCACTAGGAGTACAGGGAGGAGATGTGGGGTGACAGTGTGGGGTTACGGCTTCAGTATCTGTCCATACAGCCAGGGAGGCTGAAACACTTGTTTGCTTTGAGGGCAGCTGTGGTGTTCATGTCTTACTATTTCTCTAGCGAGTTACCATCCCAGAGCCATGCCAAGGTGATGACGCACACGCACATGCTCCTGAGGTGCACCAGTGCTGTGTCCTTTGGTTTGGCCCCTACTTCTGGTGGCAGTTCAAGCTTCTGGATGCCACGTCAAAGGATGCGCATCCCCTGCTCATCCAGCTGTGCTGCAGAAATGGTAATGAGCAACTGAGGGAGATACGGGCGTCTAAAATCACCACAACTGTTTGCTAAAGGAACATGGCTTCACCAGTTCAGAGCTTTAGGGTAATTCCGTTTAGTTATGAATAAGATGTACTACACACTTGCTTTCAATGTCTCAGGCTCAACGAACACCTAATAGGTTTAGCTCATGGCACAGCCAACAAAAGTGTCTGAAAGATGGTGCAGAGATGGCCCAGAGATAAAATTCCAGTTCATCTGCCTCTTAGGAGCATTCCTGACTAAAGGAAAGCTTTGGGATATGAAGTGGAAATGTACCAAAGTCTTTTGGTTAGTGCATTTGGGTTCAATTAGCCTAACATGGCTGCTTCTCCAAACTGCAAGAAACTTTCTCTGGGGATTTCCAAAATCTCTTCAAGTTCAGGATGCTGCAAATAACAGCACGGCTTGTTTTTGTCATGCACTTTTGAGGCTTTTCCTTTTATGATCTTGAATGAAACCAGGAAGAGCAGGGATGTGTGAGCAATAAACTACTGGAAAAAAAACCCAAACCAAAACCACACCAAAACCCCAAACCCACTTGGTTGCACTTCGGAGCAAAGGACCCACAGTGCTTCTGAAACCTATCCACGTGAATGCAGTCCCAATGTGCACTATTAAAGTTTGCAACCTAAACTGGGTATATATTCTAAAGGTCTGGGTCGTTTGGAATCCAGAGATTTAATCTCTGTCATGGTCTGTCCTGTTCAAATCGGGACTCACAGCCTTGTGAAGTCTGGAGTTACTCAGACGCAGAGGTCACGATCGAGTTGTAACCTATTTTACAATGCAGAGCAATATTCATTATCTTAGAGGTCTTAGAGCGATAATGGTCCATTCAGTTGTAATTCTGCTTAGTGCTCCTTCCTCTGACAACGTTATGGCTTTTGTTATTTCATTATGATTCTTACAACACTTGGTGTTTTTATGAAGGCAGTGACACAGCAGCCGGGGCCAGCATAGGCTTCATTACAAAAAGGCTAAATTTCTAAGTCCTATTACGGAGGAGAATTGAGATGTGAGAGCTAAGTGTAACCTCAAGGAAAAAATTGGAAAGCGGCTGAAAAGCTCGAAATATAATGGAAAGCTTTAAAAATAACACATGCAATTTTGTAGAATTGCTTTTCTTCAGCAGCTCCTGTGAAGTCTCGGGGGGGGGGGGGGGGGGTCTGCTGGAACACTCAGACACAGCAATAGAGTAAATTGCAAATTGAAGTGCCAAAACCAGTCCGTCCTGTACAGGTCACTGAAGTAGACACAGCTCTTGCCTGAAAGCATTTGTAATCTAAAACCCCAGCGCTATTCCCATTGAAGGTAATGACAAAACTCTCTGTGATTGCAAACGGAACAGGATTAGGCCCTAAGTAAATAAAAGGCACCTTTTTTTTTGGTCACCAGATACTCCTTACCTATGACAAATTCAAATCACTGTTGTTCAGGAATCTAGTGACCTAATTTTATCCGAAAAACTTCTTTCTGCAGCGTTCTTTCCTCACTTTCAAGCAGGTTTGGAAAGACAAGATTTGAAAGAGAATTCCCATCTGTTATTGAAGCATTTAATCATTCTTTAAAAGCCAGTGCAGTTTTATTTTCTCTGGGGAGTGAGCAGCATTAGCTGAAGCATAAAGCAAACTATACCAAGTGTAGAAAAAACTCACCCTGATGTCCTGTTTGACAAACTGACCTGCGGGTCACAACCTGAGTTTATTGATCTGTGGGGCCTTGTCTGGGTGTCGGGCATGTTTTCTGGACTTTGGTTACAGCCGCATTCCTGACTTCTGAAGAGTAGGGGGTGTGGATTTCTACTAGGAGTAACCACTGGGAAGGAAGTAATGTTCATTAAGTGTGCAGGCAGTGCAGGACTAAGCATGCTCAGTGAAAAAGCTTTTCTCCTTTGCCTGTCAAGCTCTACGTTTGAACTCATTCCAGAACGCCGGATTTACTTTTCATGAAGAAACAGTACCTGGCTGGAGTGCACTTTTCTTTCCCTCCTTAGTCACCGGAAGATTGGAAACACTGTTCTTTTGATGATCACTCTCAGTAATGCAGTGCGCCTGCATGCAAGTGCGAATCTTGCAGTGGAGAAGGAAGACAAACTTTGCTACCTGTGAAATGAAGACTTCTTAGGTCAGTAAAGGGGTGCAGAGAAACTAACTTTCCCAGCAGCTTTTGAGTTTGAACTAATGCTTTTGGTTCCTGCTCCCCTGTATCCCCTTCCCATCTTCAGCAGCGCTGAACTTTGCCAGAGTTTAGCAGCTTTCTGATTGTTCAGCCTCTCTGCTAAAGGTAAACTTGGTCGAAGTGAAAGCGTGATGAGGTTTGTGGGGAGCTGAGCTTAGTTTGTGAAAACCTGAGCTGCTGCTTAGCGGAGAGGCTCGTTCTCTTTCCTTTCCCTTTTCTTTCTTCTTTTTCAGTGGTTCCTATAAATGCAATCCTTTGCTTCCAGCGTGCGGGTATGTGCTTTAAAAGACTGCTCCCGCTTCTCTCCCCGCCCTCTCCCTTAGAGCTGAAAATGAGACTCGTTCTTGAATAATAAACTCTGTATGTTATCAAGCAAAATCTTGTGGCTTGTTCATGTGATCTTTTCCAGCCTCAGCAGAGATGGTTTGCCTTTTAATACATTCGCAGTTCTGTCTGGAAAATGAATTGCAAAACTGTGAGAGGGGTGAGAGAAAGCAATTTTTACTTGATAACAGCGTGGTTTAATGTAGCAGACTATTGCGCTTTTAACTTTGTAAGTGCTCTCTACTTTTTGGGTTTGAAAGGCGTATTTCGAACTCCTGTCTCTTGAGGCTTTGAAATATTCCCAGCCTTAGGAAGGGGGGGGGGGGGGGAGAATAACTTTTTCTTGTGACTTAGTGCTGCCTAAAGAAGATTTTTCTGAGCATAGGCCAAATGGTCAAGAAACAAAGTGACCACTGAATAAGAAGTGAAATGGACTCAAATCATTAGAAACTGTCTGTAGTTAATGATTATTTGAAGTAGGCCAGCGGCATTTGGCAGTTTCTGGTGTTGAATTTTGTCCTGTGCTCTTCAGAATGGTTCTCCTGCTTATCAAAAGTTAGCATTTAATCCTGTAAGTGTGAAGACTCTATACAGCTTTCAGTATTTGAATTCTATGTGTGTTATAAACTTGAGATAACCAAAGATAAAGCTATACATGCAGATGTATCAATTTGGTGTGTTGAAAAGCTCTGTATTTCTTATTTGGTTATTCTAAGCTGGAAGTTGATTTCCCATGCAAAGAATAAAGGGCATCAGGTTAGTTATGACGCATACTCCTCGTTTCAGGATTAGAAGTGCATATCTTCTCAGACTACAATAGGTTCTGCTGCTGCTGCTCACCGCTCTGCAAAAGAAAGCTCAGCATCTCTTTGCAAAGGGTGAGAACAGAGCAAAAGTGACTGGGTTACACTGGGTCTCTCGTCTGATTCCCACCGGGATTACCTGCGGCGCATACATGGAGGGACGGGGAGCAGCTAGGCCAAGCAGAAGGAATCTGCAAATGACCAAAGCTGAAGCTCTCTGATCTTTCCTTACGTTTATCCCCTGAGATCCAAGGAAGTTTTGGGTGAGAGGAGGCTGGGAAAATTTCTTTGCATTTTTCCTCTTTGATTTAGCAATCTGCAGGGGATTAAGGAGGCAGGCAGGGTTGTGCTGCAGATGGACAGAGTCTCTCCCCTCTTTGCATGCAGCACCTCCATTTCCTTAGCTGTGAAATGGGGAGGGTGACTGGGAGGGTCTTTTGTAAGGTACTTTGTGTATTTATGGAAGGAAAATGCCTTGTGCTTCCAGAGGAGTGATAAGCCCAGGCTGCAACTCTGCACATCCTGATTTGAGTTTTGAATGCTAACTTTTAGGCCCGCAGATTCAGCTGAGATCCTTTTAATGACATTAGCAAGGTAAAATATTGTCCTTATCCAGATGAGAACAACATGGCATTCCCTGTGCTATTGTTCATTTTCAGGTATACAAATCCAGCAGCTTTGCATGAATCCGCTTCACGTGCAAAATGTAATTAGGGACAGGAAATGTTTTTGGATTATTTCATTTCCCTTCCTAGGGTTGAGATTTTGCAGTTTCGACACTTGCAGAAGTTAGAAGTGGAAAACAACTCTTAAGCCATGGAGCCCAGATCGTAACAACCCTACCTGTGATGTATAAAATGGTCCATTAAATGAGTATTGGCCAGGTTTTGGCCACTAAGCTATTTAGCATCTCCCTGTCTTTGTTTTCATTCTTCACCTTCCCAGGTATTCCAGGGCAAGCCCAATACTGTTCCTTTGTTTCATTTACATCCTTCTTTATTCTTAAAACAGAGGAGGGGAATTCCATAGTTCCTGGAAATATCTGGGTCTGCCTAAGCTTTCATCTACCTCCAGAATGAAGCAAGCTGCTGCAAATGTGTGTAGCATGGTTTTCTCTTTCATTTGTGTGTTGAATCCTGGCTTTTTGAACAACTTAAATGGGGAAAAACTTCCAATGCATCTCCTCCAGGTCCCACGTGTGATCTTGCTCTCTGAAATGGAAACATATCTTCTGAAACCAGCGATAATCAACAGGCAGAGGTGAAATCTGAATAGAGAAAGCAGGAAGTGCAGGAATGGGATATGTTGTTGAGCACTAGGTTACCTTTGCTGCGAGTTTGTTCCTGTCTAGGACGTGCAGAGCAGAAGCACGATGGTCTTGGGTCTCTGGAGTGGTTAATCGTGGCAGCTTCCTTGTTTCAGTGCTTACACAGAGACACCCTGTCAAGGCCTCTTTTGAAGATGGTGGTTGCTCAGAGCGTTTTGAGTTATCAGGATGTCAAGACCCATCTGAAACACCCTGGCTAAGTCACTCAGCGAAGTAAGCCAGCTTGTGTCTGGCACTGCAATAGAATAACAGACCCCAAATGGGTTTATCTGTAATGGGTCATTCTTGACCTAGAGATGCTAAACGTGATCTGTTCAGATAATGTACCCTTGTGCTTACTGGAATGTTCTCCAAAACTGTATCACTACGGGCAGTGAAGTATAAAACAAATAGGGGATGATTTGTTTTAGAGAAAGCTACACTAGATGACATTGCTTCTCTTTTGAGGAATCACAGAGTTTGCACTACATGTGAGAAGGTGCAACTGTATTTTTTCATATCTAGCATAGAAGTGCAAGGCAGAAGCTAATAATGGTACCTCAGGCAGTAACCTGCCCTTGTGTCCTTGAGAAGAACCAAGGAACAGCAGGGCAAGTCACTGCAGGCTGTTCTGTCTAATGTTTGTTTTGAGGCAGATGATCTTGGGTCATTCTTGGGAAGATCTCGAATGTGCCTTTCTTTCCCTACTTTCCTTGACCCCAAGAGTACTGTGTGAAAGTAGCTGCAGGGAATGAGCCATGTGGGAGCTGAAAGCCCACTGTCTTTCTAAAAACATCTTTACACATTAACAGTAAAACTGATTCCCTCATCTATAAGTTCTGATGGAAGCTGCCTATCTACAAGTAACACCTTTCTACCAGTGGGGTTTTACAGATCCACTGCTCTGGAGGAATCGCATCTGGACCTGTCCCCTCGGTCACCACTTGCTGAGGTCTGTTCCTTAGCCAGTCACAGCCACAGGTGGAACTTCAGCACCCAGGGTTACTGTAGGGCCAGGGCTCTACTCTTACGAAGCGCTTAAGTAATGCGTCCTCTTCTCCACTGACCAAAGTGAAGCAAGCTCTTTCTTTTCTCTGTGTGCTGGTGGGTTCAGGTAGATGTCTGAAGATGCAAAGGTGTTCAGAGCAGAAGCAGCAAGACATGGATGATTTCTGAGGAGCACTTTTCCTCAAGCTGTTGATTTTAGTGTAATTTCTCCTAGATGTTGCAGGTACTGCCACATGCAACCATGCCTGGGATAGAGAAAAGGGACTGTAAGCAAAAGACAATCCTCCAGTGCAGCACTGGTATTAATGGTGAATTCCTCCATTTATTTTTGCAGGTAGCAGTGGAAATGAAAGCAATTCTATTTATCATATTGTTCACAGACTCCACAAATGTAAGTACAAACACGGCTGAACACTGCGCTCTGTTTCACCATAGGTGAAAGTGTGAGTCTAATGATCAAATAAGCATTCATGTTGCGAGTGGTTTAAAACCAACCGAACAAGGAGCCTAGAGGAGACTTACATGTGCAACACTTTGTTGCTGGCTTTGCACAACATCAGGGTTCATTTGGATTTAGATCCTGTTGCACTGGGGCCAAAGTTGTCTCTGGAGAAGTGTGGGAGGGACAGAAGAGGAGAAAAGCTTTTAGCTCTGTCTATTGAGAACCCCCTGGGTAGCAATGTCAGAAACTCCTGCAGGACTGAGGTGTTGAAGTCCTATTATTAGGAGTATTGTGAGAGATTAGATCAGGCTTTAAAGCTTTCAGGAACCTGAAAACACAGGTAGGAACCCCGTGGGATCCAGGAAGTGTCTGAACAGGTTGTGTGCCTCAATCTGAGAGTTAATACTTAACTTACCGTAGGGGCATTAACAAAACCCACTGGACTTCTGCATGGATCTCCCTATGTCCTATGTCTTGGTATCACCTCATTTCAGAGGAACTGTGATTCGTAGATACTGAAGCCTGAGTTTAAGGTTCTCAATGGGTAATTTTGAATATATTACCCGTTGCTTTAAAATCACAGAGAAAGTGATGAATACAGCGCACAGTATTAGCGTCTGTTGGTGCCTCCTGGACTCGTTTCTGTCTTCACCGAAGTTCAGGGATTCTTTGTCTGAGTTCAGTTTCAGCCACTTAAGAGACTGGAAAGTGCTGCAAACTTTAAGCTGAAGTTCAGTGCAGATTCTGCTCTCTGTAGTTGGGAGTTGCAACCTGGGCCAGAACTCAGCATTTGGATCCCCTTCCTTCCTTGGCAGACATGCAAAGAAATAGGATTTTCTGCATCACTATGCAAATTCCCCAGGGAAATGGGTGCCTTTCTGAATCGCCCCTGTGTTGCTGTTGGGGTTCAGGTGGTTGAAGAAATGAGCTTTGTGTTCACAAGGCAGCAGGGACTAGGGTTTCTCCAAAGTGCCTTTGTTTGGGTATATGTAAAGCTATCAATGCATCATTCTTTCTGCTTCAGCTGTTAGAGACTCCCATCTTCTCCATTGATTTTACCCAGAATGCTTACTGCCCTTGAAGGTGTGACCTGTACCTCAGGCTAATTTATTTCTGTCATGGCTGCAGCATATTTTAGAGGGCAGCGGGGGTAGGAGAGAGAACAATGAATTCAACATGGAATATAAATCCCAAGCCTGTAGCTTTCAGACATTCCACTGCATCCCCTGCTCCATGCTCTCATTTGGCATTCTGCATGGTCTTGGATTAAGAGGGGAAAAAGAAGGGGGGGGGAAGGCATTTGTATAACTAATCAGGTGAGCCATTCTGGGGTAATCCCTTTGGTCACACATACTGGCATGTGTATTACCATTTTGCTAGGCTTCTAAAGCATTTCCAATGACGTCCTAGTTTATGAGCCTGAATGAAAAGTCTCACCTTGATGGCCTAGAAGTGTTCTGGATCTGAGCACAGCTGCTTTAATCTGTTGAAATTTGTGTCGCGGAATGTGGATAGACAAAGACTTAGGGTTTGTGCTGAAAGCTCATTTTGGACCATAACGGTGGTGGGGCTGATGGATTCCCTTTTTTGCGTGTGTATTTTATTTTGCATCGTATTGCATGTTCTTTCCTCTTTGTTTTTTATAGACAATAACGTGAAACTGAAATGATGTGTAAGCACAAATACTAAGCTTCAGCACTGGGCCCTTTTCATTATTCTATTGAAATAAGTGGGGTGTATTCTCGTGACCTGCTTGTGTAGCTGAAGTCTTCCCTGCCCCATATGGTTCATCAGTAGCATAGGATTTCTTTAGGGCAAACATGTTGCTCCCAGTTCCCCCCCACAGAAAGGCTGAGCACTGTGTATTCAGTGGGTTGTGGGGAAATCTGTTGGAAAACCCTGGACTTAGCACCACGTCCTCGGGATGCATGCGAGCCCTGGGATACACTGTGCAGTGTTTTACAGACCCACCTCTTCCCACCTTGGATTTGTGAACGATAGCCAATGAGTCCCGTGAAACTGGAAGCACCAAGAGGCGAACCCTGGCTCTCCAATATGATGCTACTGAATGGTTTCATAGACTGACTGTTTGGACTCTGCAGTTCAGACCAAAGTTTGGTGTTCAGGTCTGAGTTGATTTTGTCCTCTTGCAGAGGAGAGGCAGCTTTAAGGAGCTATATCAGAACACGAGCTTCACATAAAGCACAGTTACTGCCTTCCTAGGAAATTTAGGGCTCATACTTCAGCGCTTTTGACGCAGGAGTACCTGGCCCGGGGTTGCTGCTGTGGGTCAGGGCAGTGAGGCCAGCTGGGTAGGTCAGGCTTCAGAGGAATGCAGAGGGCTCTGGAGTTGAAGTGTATGAGATTTCCAGGTGATTTGCTGGGAGCTGCTGCCACAGAAAGCTCTAAATTAGCCTGGGATGGCTGAATGCAGTGAAACTTACACCGGTCTGGCCCGAATTCGAAGCTTATAGTTAAGTCTTGTTACTTGCTGTGTGATTTGGGTTCTAAGTGGGTCCATGTCACACAGCCGTAAATGTTGTTCTTCCCCCAAATGTTTTCTGCACTGAATCACTCGGAAGCATTTCTGTAGCACCTACTGCTGTAGAGACAAGAAGAACTGGGACAGGAGGTATCAATTCAAAGGAGAGCTGTGAATATAAAGAAGGTTTATGATTTGTGCAGGGGGCAGAGGGATGCTGTGCCATAGGAAATGAAATGATCCTTTGGCATAAAGTGTATCTTTTCGCACCTCCGCTTCTTGCACTGTGGCAAACACGTATATATATGACCTCCGCCAACGTGCTGGTTATTACTCACGGAACAAAGCAGCCAGGGCTGGGCATTCAAGCATGGAGGCTCCTTGTATCTTGGCATCTTTGTGTTTATAGGTCTCACTCTTTTTACTTTGCCCCTAATAGCAATAAAATAAAACAAGATCCGGTCTTTTCATAGCATCGCCACTCTCCTAAAACAGAGGGAGGGAGGAAAAGAAAGCAGTTCCAGCACAGAAGAGACCCTGTGCTCCTATAAATGATTTTTTGGGCCTCCAAGATAAAACTGGGAGAGAAAGGGGAAAAATACAAGTGCTTAACTGCAGTATGGTGCAGCCATCCTGTGACTGAGCACAATACCTTGGGGTCTGATTTCTTAATAGCCCAGGGTGCCTGATCCATACTGGTTTGTCGCCAGTGGAATAAGGAAAGGAAAATCAGATGCTGGGTGGGAAGATGACTATGGTTTTTGGTTCACTATGAGCCTGTGATGTGCTGGCATCATTTTGGAGTCTGTCACCAGGCAGTGATGAAGCTCTGCTTGCTGTCTTCTCTGAGCCACTGGTGTTGGCAGTGCCTTCCTGAGTAGCTGCTTTGCAGTAGGAATTCTCCTCCTCTGGTTTTAGAAACCCCTCAGACCATCAGCACTGAAGCCATGTATGAATCCAGTTCATTTCCTTCATGTCTGCTTGCTGCTCTAGAGGTCTTGTGATGTTTCACCCTTTAATATCTGTCCTAAAAGGGTGTGTGCCCAGTTTAACCCCAGAGGCAGCCTCTTGTCAGAAATGAGTCCCAGGGCTAATGGCAGAAATAGAGAGGACAAGCATGTCAAAGAAATACTGCAGATAAGATGCATAAGGTGTAGTGGGAGATTTTAGGAGTGAAAAGCATCCCAGAAATGCAACTTGGTGGTTATTATTTAATATCTTATAAACCAAAAACATCAGTCAAATTTTCCAGCGTGCAAATGAAGGAAAAGTACCTAAAGCTGTGTCAGCGAGAGATGCTTTGCAACATAATTTTATATATGAGAAGACCTCTCATATGCTTCCCAGATGTACAATCCCATATGTCTGTTCTGTTAGGCTGATTACGGAATACATGCATTTATAGCTGAGAGCAATGGGAGAATTGATTTCTTTCTAGCGTGGTGTGGATATCACTGTGTTCAAGATAATTAAACATTAGAACTGCAATACTCACACACAGGTCCGCCCTGGTGTTTTGGTGTGGGAGACCACGGATGGAGCTATTGGTGTTAGTAGTGCATATGTGAGAATGTGTTGCTTGTGATGCTACGCAGCTTAAGGTTTTCATTTGTCATACCTGATGCTGCAGGTATGTGTGCGAATAACTTGACTCACAAGAGTAGTCCAAAGAGGATACTTACTGCTTACGTGCAGGAGCTGTATGGATCTGAATCCCAGCAGATCCCGGCCTAAGTGTAATATGACTTGTGTGTTTAATACAATTGCTCCGGAGAGCTCACTGTTTGAACTGACAAGACAAAGGGAGTATTATTACACATTTAGATGTAAAGAACTGTGGGCTTGTCTACCCTGGAACAGTCAGAAGTTAATTCGTCTTAAACTAATGATGCATACATAAAATGCATTAGTTAAACTGCACTGAACCCCTTTGTGGTCACTCTTGTTCCTGGTGAAAGTGTTTTCCTTTCATTTAAACTTGATTCGCTTCCAAACTAAATTTAGTGCAACCTCATTAAAGCCACTTTGGTTGTGAAGTAAAAAGCCTATACAGGGATTTAAATGGTGCTCAAGTAACTTACCTCAAAAATTGATATGATTTCAGGTTTTTTGAGTGCTCTGCTATATGTTACACGCTTTGTCCAAACTCCACTTTGGATACTATCACTTGCTTCTAGCAGTAGTTGGATTTTTTGTCTTTCAGACTAAGCTTCAAGATAAGGTGCTAATTTCAGCTTTCATAAAATAAAGGCATGATTTGGTGCAGAGAAGACCTTTGGGAATATTAACCCCAAGGGTGTCAATATCTGAATTCAAGTAATTTGAGACTAATTTTAAGAGTGTACTTGCTTTTGGATGTTGGTGTTTGTAAGTGCTGAAGATTGTTCAGTACCCCGGAGGGAGTGATGGATATTGGATTTTACTCAGTATCCTAACTGGAAATCTAATCTCTGTAAACTCGAGCTTG